CACACAAGGCTAGTTTACCAGCAGCAAAGAGTCATCTCACAGTTCCTCTTTTTTTTTTTTTTTTGTCTTTTTTTAATGGTATTTTAGGAGTTAGCGTGGTTAGAATTAACTAATATTATAAGCACTTGGGGGAAAAAACAAATAGAAAAGCCAAACTTTGTTATGCTTACTGTACTCATCCTTCAAAAAAAAACTCTAAACTCAGCCAGATTGGTGAACTTCTTAGCAGACCCTTAGGTTGGTTGACACCATCCAAATCTTTCTGCAGTAAGATTGTCTTCAAACCAAGTCACTGAATTAGGACTACTTTGTTGCAGGAGCCCATTGCCTTCTTCCTCCACCACTATATTCCTAAATTGCACAATCATGAGTCTGAAACTGTTTCCTTAAAAATCACAATCACCCCCCAACCGCCCCCACTCCAGGTGTTCATTTGCACACATCTGAGGCTGGACAGGTAGCAGATAAGCACTTTATAAAGCACAGCTTTTAGCTTGGGACCAGAGAGGAGGGGAGGGGTACAGAGAGTAGGTGGCGTGTTAGTGGGTCCACCCTCCAAATCCCCACTGCAATGCGCAACCTGCCAAACTGTGCACACAGACATGACAGGGGATTGGAAAAATGCACCATAGACAATGTGGCTAATGGACCAGGATCCCCTGCAAAGTAGCTCAAGGGAGAGTTAGGAAGTGACCTGGGCCATTGGAATCTGGATAGAGCGCCCTAAAAGGAAAAGCTTTTTTGAGTGCTGATCTACTTCCTCTGTTTATTCCCTTCTCCAGAGGGAAAGAAAAAGAGGGAAAACGAAAAAAGAAATACTGGACTCTGGCTAGATCCCTAGAATAGCCTGTAAGCAATTCAGGCAGCATTTCTTTACACAATAGATGAGTGAAATATGAACTATGCTGCCAAAATCAGCAAGACAAGCAAGTACTGTGTATTCAGCTCAAGAGGAGCCTGGACACATTTCAGAAAGAGCAGGGAATCTGAAGACTAGATTCTGACTCCTCTTCTGGGTTGACAGAAAATACAAGTTAATTTGTGTTACACAAGATAGTGCGAAGGAGAGATGGGAGAAGAGCTACCTCTGACCCATCTGGAATCTCATGAACCATCTCTCAGGATTTTTAAAAATCCTAGTCACAATATTGATGGGGAGGTAAGGAAGTTTTTCCTAATAAAGGATATCCTTGGTTGGCAAGGCAACACCCTGCAGACCGTTTGTTGCTGTTATGTGTCATCGAGTAGAACTAACTCAAAGCTGACCCTCCAGTGGATGGATTTTCAGTCTTTGAATCACATAGGAGGAGACTGTCCGCTTTTCTCCAAAGAGCAAATGGTGGATTCAAACAATGTGCCTTTGGATTGACAGTGCAACTCCTTACCCACGAAGCTTCCTAATGAAGGATACTCTTTTTAAAAAAGCCAACGGAATTATAGCCTTTTTCTTTTCTAAGAAGTCTTCAAAATCAATTATCTAATTTTACTGATAGAGACCAACTCCCAGGGAAATGAAACAAATGGCCTCAGATCCCTAATGGCAGAGCCAGGAACAAAACTCCCACTCCAGATCCCCAGGACAGTGGTGGTGACCCATCCCATTTTTCTGAATTCCTGAGTTTTCCTATTAACTATGCTCTTTACAATGGGTGTGGGCAAGTCAGAGCTAAGGCTCCATTTACACTATTTGTTTGAACAAGGTGTAAACAAAAATGGTCTTCAGAAGCTTCACTGAGAAGTACAGAAGAGGGTTGGATTGTTCTTCAGCTGCTTTTGGGGGATAAAGGGTTATTTCTGAGGATAAACTTGTAATAGGTCTCACGGCCTTTTAATCAGCTTTGTGTCTCTATTCTTAAGAAGCCCTTGTGGCATAGTGTCTTATGTGGTCTGCAGCTCACCAAAAGGTCAGTGGTTCAAATCCACCAGCTGCTCTGCATGAAAAAGATGGACAGTCTCCTTCCAAAAAGATGTTGTTGTTGTTGTATGCCATCAAGTCAGTTGGTCAGTCACAGTGAGCTTTCAGTGACTGTAAATTGCATGGAGGAAGGGAGGGGAGACTGTCCACGTCTCTCCTGCAGAGTTCAGACCATCCACCTCTTGGTTGACATACAACTCCTTACTCACTAGGCCACTAGGCTCCCCTCATCATACGGCTTGCCAAGAGTCAGAATCAACTCAACAGAAGTGGGTGTGGGGTTTTATGTGCTCTTACTTAGACTGGAAAAGAAAAGGGATTCGTCTGCAGAAAGTCACAAAAAGTGTTCTAGGAGTTGAGATGGGTTTGGGGATAAGGGTGTGTAGCACAAGGAGATAGAATGACAGAGCCCTGAGTAATGCCTATATCTTTGAAATGGAAAGACTCAGAGTTGAAAGGAGTTGCACTTGAGTTTTTCAGTTTGAATTTTTGTCAATGGTTATTTTATTAAAAGCAGTTTAATCTAGCATGAGATACCTACAAAGAATATATTCCCTTCATGCAGTAAGGGCTTATGCTTAGGAATAAGTTTTTTAAATCATGTTTAAAATCTTAAGAAGATCAGAAAATAGACACTGATGTCAAGAAGGTCAGCTCTGGGAGTCCCCATCTCAGTCACACCTTGTCTCCCTGGCTACCAACCCAGAGACCCAATGGGGAACCTCACCACACTTCATGTCATTTTTTTTAAGGGGAATAACAATTTAAATGTCACAAAGTAAGAATGAGATCACTGGAGTCTTGGTTTCTCTATTTCCTGCCCTGTTTAAATTTTTTTAAGAAGACTGCTAGACATATTTTATTTAAATGGACTTCAATACAGACACTCACCAGGTGTTGAATAAATGAAGGTTTTCACTGCAAAATGTTTACCTCACTAACTTCCACTGATAGATAAAAAGATGATTACATAAATGTCTATTATGTTAGCTTTTAAAATGTTTTAAATAAATACAACCCAATTTCTTATATATTAAAAAAATAATTCACATCCTCAAATATTCTTTCATGGAAAAGTTGATGTAACTATTACAAAAACAAAGCCAAACAGATTGAAAATTAATTAGGGGTATAATTTACTCAAAATTCTTTCAGCAGTGTTTAAGATATACATACAATCTTTCTCTGTGGAGATTAAACTCTCTCTACTATGTTCTAGGTTTTCTTTAAAAACAGAAAACATAACCATTGAAGCCTTGAAAATGTGATAACATTTTAAAGAAACTGAGTCACTGCTTACATTTTTTAACCTTTTGAATTATCCTCAAGAAATATTTTTGAATTTAAATAAAAATACAAAATGATGAAATTACTTTCTCCGGAGAAGTAATAAGATCAAATATGTCATGATAACTATAGGATTTAAAATAAAAAGTACTTAGTAGTTTGGGGTTTCTCTACGTGTGTCCTCCCCCTACCCCAAAGAATGCCAAGAATTTGAACTCCGTGTTCTTAAGGTGAAAGGGCATTAATGCAAATCTGTCCTGGAATAAAGGAGGTGGCAAGTCCTAAACCATTAGAATTATACAATAAAATCTCTTAAGTGGTAATAGGTGAGTACTTCCTCTGGTACTTAAAAATTCATTAAAAACATCCAAATTGTAGGTGATTAAATAGGAGCCAGTAAGATCTCCATTTGCATCTCAGTAATTCTCTACGCCTTTATTTCAACATTTAGCTTTAGGTTTAAAATATGTGCTAAGAAAGCAGAGAGGCGATTAACAGAGATTTGAAAATGTGTGCCATGGTTACACATTCTGTCAACAGAGTGAAAGGAAACTATACAGCATTAAGTTACAAAATGGTTATTTCGTGTTTCGCAAACATTCCAATAAACCCTTCGCTGTGGTGTTATCCAATTTGACAATATAAAAGCAAAACAAAAAATGAACTCAAGAGCCAACCCAGCTCGTTTACATCTTGAAGAGAACCACGCGGAATCCGTCTGTCACAATCTTCCTGTGAAGCGTGGCGAGGAAATGGTTCTATTTCTCCCGCCAAAAGACAACCTACTTGAGGTTCACAAGGAGACAGAGGCAGGTGAGCCTCAGCTCAGGAAGGGCCAGACATGTCACTTCAACCCGGGAGACAGCCCTCTGGGAGCCCTGCAGAGCTCCAAAGATCCCCAGTTTCCCAAAAGAAGAGGCATGGGCTATCTGGGGTTGCCATGCTCTCCTTGCAAATAGCTTAGCATGTGTATTTTTTTAACTCCATTTCCTTAAATTAGCTAGAGCTACCAAATTCTATAAAAGAGCTTGGCCGTCAACTTGACATGATGGAATTTTGTTGTTTTAAAATATTTTCACTTTATTAATATTATTTATTATTATTATCATCATTAATTATTATTCCAACAGACTGTATTAAGGCAGTGATCACTAACACAGAACACGACAGGAGCTAACATCAGCCAGGGTGCTCTCAGGACCTGGGCCGGCTTGGCCTCGGTTCACTGACATGCATGTCGGTAGCTCATACACTGCTACCCTCGTAGCACAGGCCGCAGGGAGAGTGAATGAAAAAGACAGATGCTGCTGTACCCTTAGAAGCTATTTAATAAATATCATCAAAAAACAAAGTGGAAAATAGACCCTCCAGAACACAATCACCTTAGGTCAACCGAACGTAATCTAGTTTATTCAACCAAAAACTGAAAAGGAAAAATATTAAAATAAGAGAGGGGGAGAGAGGAAAAAAAATAATAAAAAGGCAGTTTCTTAACAACTAGCAGTAAATAAATTTATACAACAATTCAGTCTGTATAATATGATGAAATAAATCTACATCTTTTTCTTATTTTGGTGCTTTGAATTATACATACAAACAACAATTACAGGGACTTTGTTCACAAAGCATGTAGGTCTGGAAAAAGGCTATCCGACCCCTTCCATGGCAATCTATGAGTGTTAACACTGAATGCCTGGAGCTGATAGTTTTTCCTATGCAGAGGCCCACAGCTTTGGAAGAATGATTTGCCTACAACTTTTTTTTTTTTCATTTTTTTTCTTTTTTCTTTTTTTTTTTTTTCTCTTTTAATGCATTGATCAACTGTGGCCAGTAAAAGGAAACAAAACTGGCAGTCTGTCCATTTGGTTATTAGACCTAGATTCTTCTTAATTTCCACACTGTATATCCCCCATATTCCTTAAAATTCTTGGCGTCCTTCATGCCTTTCTTACAGCTACCCAGTTGCAATAAAGTCTTCCTCAAATGTACAGTATTTCTTACAATATAAGTTATATGCAATGTTCAGCAATTTTTTTTTCACAGCACTAGAGACCCTGTTAAATAGGGAATATGAGTCTGAATGGCTTATTCACAAATGGGATCCAGATTCAGTGGTTGAGAACACAGACACCACAGTGAGCTCCTTTTCAAAAGTGGCAAACATCATTTTTGCTTTCTGCCTTCAAAAACATATCCATCGGTTTTAGGCTTCATGATACTGCTCCTGCAAAAATGCAAGTATAAGGGGTTGGAGGGACTCTCGCTTGGAGACCTCTAAGCATCGAGCAGGGACTCTAACCCATGGCGGTGACCATACTGGAAGGATGGTGAGGTCCAAAGGAGAGGCTGGACGGTGGGTGCATCGGTGTTGGAGTGGTCAGCATGTGGCTGGAGTGGCTGAAAGGTGAAATGTGGCTGAGGGAAGACATGTGTCTGGAGAGGGCGGCGGGGTTAAACGAGCTGCTCTTGGGGAAGTCCTCCAGCGTATCATGCACCTTTTTGCACTTTTTGGATTTGCTAGACATTTTTCGGTTTCTGGTCTGGATTCCTTCCTTCTTCATAGTCAGGGGTCTGTTAATCTAAACACAGATCAATTTTTTTTTTTTTTACTTTTTTCCACTAGCTCTGAAATGGCACAGGCTTCCTGCACCACCTCGAGCTCCTCTGTCTTCCCCACATCAGGGATCTGCTTTCAGCTGAGGCCTTTCCTCCCACCTTTCCCTGTCTCCTTCCCAGGGACCCCAACAACTAGGACCTGGCACAGCCTAGATCTGGCCAGGGTGTGACCGTCAGTTTCAAAAATCGTGAAAGCATAGGTGAGGTGTCTCTAGCAGAGTTTTGCTTTTTGTTGGGATTTTTAAAAAACAAAAAAAACATCACACACACACACACACACAAAAAAAAAAAAAACCACCCAAAGCTCTGCTTATCAGTAGCAGTAATTTGAGGGAAATTCTCCTCAGAGAACTCTGCATCTACTCAGTGTGATCTCATTTCTATGGTAATTTTAAAAAGGTAGTAACTTTTCTTACGTTATTAAGAGTTTCCCGAAAATATTTTATGAGAATGAAGATAATTGGGCACTCTTCAAGTGAAAAACAAAAATTTTTTGTCTACTACTCAAATTTGTTTGAAGGACTTTAAATGTGCCGCTAGTTATCTGAAGTGTTTACACCGACTTGCCTGAGAGAAATGGGGACTGTATTAATCTTAATGGTAACTTCTGGTACCTCTCTTGACCTTGTCATAATCAAGGACTGTAAAACTTCCCCCGCAATTTATATGTTCTGGGATTTTTCCTAAAGGTAATCCCTTGCTCATCACTAAAATAGCAATGGCAGTGACTAATTGTTGCTATTGCTACTATTTCTAACTAGACAAATAATCAATCAACAAATATTTAATAACAACCTGTTGGGTGGGAAGGACAGTGCTCACATAAAAGTGCACTAGCTCTAAAAATGAAAGGCTGAGAAAGAACTGGAGATAAAGAGGCAGAGGTAAGCGTCTGCTTCAAAGATCACTGGATTTCAATCAGTCTCTATGACAGCAATATCATCTCACTTATTTCCTTCTTTTTATTTTTTAATGTATCTGCTTTGTTAATTCAGAATTAAGAAAATACTTTCTAAAGCAAATAGTAGTTACTACCCAATGGAATCCGATTCAAATTAATCTCAGGAAGAAATTATCTGCCCCATATAGCAAACTGCACATCTGGCCATGCTTCCAAGGAAATGTGGCAAAAAAACTCCAGTGTCAGTTTTTAAGTCATTCCTGACCCCCATGGAAGAAAAAAAATTTTTTCCACCAGAATCTTTAAAGATGGAAAAAGAGACGTCTGTGGCATAAGGGTTGACTTGTATGCTCCTAACCTTCGGAAATGACAATGAAGGAAGAGGCTCCAGATGACCAAGAGCGGCCAAGCTGCTGACAGTGCTTCCGGGAGCCACACACACCACTTCCTGGAGCTACACTGGCAAGGGCTTTACTGGGGAGGAGGGCCCTGGAGCCAGACACTGGAGCTGAGACCTTATTTCCCCTCAGTGCCAAGAAGGCAACCTGAGGAACAGAAGAAGAGCTAAAAACTCACTGCCAAAAAAACATCTCAGGGATCTTTCTTCAAAGTTCTAATCAAGCTAAAAATGCAGCTTACAAAGATGCTGGGAATGTACTACCCCATTCAATCTTCACCAAGATAGAGTCCAGATACACAGCTCTTTACGCTGCTATCTAGATATACATGGCCAGATATCTAAATATAATATCTAGTTACACCGATAGCCACACAAACCCAGATAACTAGTTACAACACTGCCCAGGTAGCTGATAATAAGATACAGTTATCTCAACACCTAGATTAGGGGAAAGGGCCTTATGGCATATATGTATAGCTATCTAGATGGGCAGAACACATCACAACACGATGAAAATGTCCACAGATGGTTATCACTTATTGTTAAATACATATAAATTGTCTCCTTTCATGAATGCCTACTAATCCAGAGAAGACAGGAAGCTATTCTTGCTGATGCGGTCACTACACTAAGTCTCTCTCAGTCTCTGCGGCTCTGCCATGAAGACAGGAGTTACTTAATACAGTAGAAACAAATAACACGAGAGATTCCTTGACTTTCCTCATGAGAAAAAATGGGTTTTTGTTTAGATTGGACACAAATGAGATTCTGTCACCACAGATAACCATTTTTTTAAATAGTATAGCTAACTAATTTCCCAAAGTTCCTATATTTCCATAAAGGTAATAACAGACACACAATTGGTTATATTTTAAAAAAATAAGAAAATGCTTTGCTTTCCAATGAGTCTCCTATTAATCCTCATACTACTGAGTTCCCTGGGAGGCCTCTTAACACTTAGAAAGCAAGAATTTGTTCATGGACTCAATTGACAATTGAGAAGCCAGTCCCAATTCTACTATTTCCTCAGCTACACACTACCTTGCACAGTTTATTACTGTGTCACCATTTCTTTAATTAAAGCCAGAATAAAAAGTATTTCTTCCCTGTCTATACCAGGGAACTATATCTGAGGCCCAAAATGTGATCAAATAACATGGGAGGCCTATGAAAATCAGAAATGCAGCCCAAATTGAACTTCACAGACTGAACTAATAATGACTGGGTAGCTAATAAACTTTAATGTTCCAAATTTTTCAGAGTTTTATGACAAATCTTATCTCAACTGCAGCAAGGAAGCAAATTCCTCAAAGTGAAAATGAGACCTGACCTAACCACATATGGCTCAGGATATGTAGGAAAATAGGCCCCCATAGTTAAGGCATGGTTGGTCCTCACCCTGCCTACTTCCTGTCATGAGAAGACACTGCAGGAAGGACATGAGTCTGTTCTAAGGTCCTTGGGACTCACATAACTTATTCCTAAAAAACAAAAAAGAACCAGGTGCTAAGAAGTTCTCCTTAGACTGGAAAATCTAACCAGAACCGCTTCCTCCCCAATTCCCAGGTATTCCTGACTAAGATGAGTTTGCTGCCAGAATAGCCCTGAGCAAAAAGCTCTACCTCTTTCCTGTTCAGTCCCAGACTTTGCCAAAGTAAGACTGGCAAAGAGACTTCAAGAGAATCAGAGGGCGCTTTAAAAACAGAGAGAAGCAAACTACAATAAAACAATTAAGGGGTAAAATGGAAATTCTTTCTCTGGGATTAATGTAAACTTCAGTCATTATTAGTTTTTTAGGGTCATGGTCTTTCAGCTAGAGTTGTTTCAAGGGGGGGGGAATACCTGTGCTCATTTTTTTTTTTAAATAAAGTAAAGGCATTATAAAATGGGAGCACTCCAAATTAAAAGATTAGAAATGACATCACTAAACCCGGGTGACTGGCAATTATTACTCTGCCAAAATGATACAGAACTGTTCTTTTCTCCGGCTCATGGCCTTTTTCCCCAGATGTCTCTGCATGTGTATGCTGGTTAGGACAAAGACATCAGATGGGATCTCGCAGACATTCCGTTTCATATCTTTTTATACAGAGAATCTATTTAAAATTCACAGCACAGGTTTAGCCAAGACTTTTTGCACCTCAGTAATTGACTGGGTCCTCTTTAGTTTCTAGAATCCATGTGCCATGCATTGTAATTGTTTACCTTTCCCTTTCAATTTCGTGCACTCTCTCTTTTTTGCAAAAAAGATAAAAGACAGGGAGACATCAAATATGCTAGGTGACTTTTTTGTTTTGCAGGGAGAAGATTTTAAAAATAAAATAATAATCCACAAAACCAAAAAACTGAGACGAGGCCCATCAAACAGAGCATTTTACTGCATTGCACAGTGTCTTCCAATCCATACTAAATGGGTTGCATCATTCTCTGTTTTTAAAGCCCATCATTCTGTAGGGGGAACCAGGAAGACCCTCGAGGAGATGGGCTGGGGCAGTGGCTGTAACAATGGGCTCAAGCACAGCACTAACTGCGGGGCTGGTGTAGGACCAGGCAGTCTCTCTTTCTAGTGCATCTGGGGTGGCAGTAAGTCAGAACTGCTCCAACAGCACCTACCAACAGTCCCAGTAAGGCTATGCTTTGACAAAGATGAGGAATTTTTATTCTGAAAAAAAAAGTTCACTTTCTAAATTTGATCCTATTGCATCAATTATTTGAAGCCTCCCTATTATTTTACCCAAAGGAGGGTGATTGATTGGAGCAGGGAAACTCGAGAGGGTGGTGGTGGCACTGCTTAACAGGCATCGGTAAACAGAGACCCCCTTGTTGGGGGTGGCAGGTACACTTACATTGTGCAGCTTGTAGTACAGCCCGCAGGCATTGCAGACAGGGTCTCCGTTGGCATTCCTCCTCCAGAGAGTGGTAGTGGTAGTCTGGCAGTTTGCACAGGATGTACCTGCTCTTCTTGCTGCCGACTGAGAGAGAGGAGAGAGAGAAGAGGGTAACATCAACACAAGCGTTAAATGTGTTTTCTTAACTACACAGAAGGGCGCTTTTAAAAAGAAAAAAGAAAAATTATCATTAAAATCAAAACTAGCAAGTGGCCCACATGAAAGTAATAAAGAGCTTCTAAAAGAAAAACGTAGCCAAATGCACCCAGATAAGAGCATATCCCACTGTATCAAAGATTTTAGCCATTTCTATCTAGGGAGCAGAAAACTGCTCTGAGAAATCGTTGTCCCCATAGCTACCCCACAGAGTTCAGCAGATAGTTCATTTTCATGAGTAACAGTTTTTATTTAACCAGACTAATTTTGAGACTAGACTTCCACAGCAGCCGTATTTACTAAGGTGAGTACTACAAGAGGTCCCTTTCAAAAGACATGCACAAAAAATCAATTCTCAGATGGGCCACAGGCCATCAGGAAATACTACCAGCAAAAGAAGAGTAAATCCAAGCATCAGTGGCACTTTATAGATCCCAAATAAAGAAAGGCTAGGTTATTAAGAGTACAGAGTGTTAAAAGAACACAAAGTTTGTAAGTGAATGTGTGTGGCAAGTACTCATGAGCTATATAATTTCAAAAGGGCTAAGCAGGACATTCTAAGTCAAGAGTCCCTGTCAAATTGGCAACATTTAACACAGTATCCTTTCAACCTTGGTTATTTGCAATTGGCAGAGGCAATAGCTACCTTCTCTCTCTTGAGGTGGCTTTTGTTAAACAAGACAAAGTGAGGAGAACACGGAATTGAGTTATTCCTGTTCCACTCTCATTTATTTTATCCTCATTCATTTCCTACTTGCAAACAGCAACAAGTCAAATGCTAGCCTCAATTCAGATCTTAATTCCTTCATTTCCCTTGAAAGGGAGATTTCCTTTTACTTTTTCGCACATCTAAAATTTATGAGGTGACTATTTTCTATGCTAGCTATACAGAGGTGGGGGTGGTAAGTCTACTGAAAGAAGATGGAGTGTGTCACATTCTAGCACACACCTCTCCTCATACTCCATCATAAGAACATTTTAACTCCTACATGCAGCAGTATCACAGTAAAACTAGAAGACAAAGAATTCAGCTAGGCTTTATCTGTAACCACAAAAATTCTGATATAGTTATAAAAGCATGGAAAGGAAACGAGAGCAAATTATGCTGATTCTATCAATACTTTGGGAACCAAAAAGTTGGGCTAACATACAATATGGGAAAACTCAAAAACTAAATGCAAGGAGTCCATTTTGACTCATAGCAGTCCTAGAGGACAGGGTAGAACTGTCCCCCAGGGTTGCCAGTCTGTAAACCTTTACAGAAGTTGACCACTACAACTTTTTCCTGTGGAGTAGATAGTGGGACTGAACTGCTGCCCATTGGCGCAGCAACTGAATGCCACTGAGTCGTCAGAGTTCTGAGATACAGGAAACCCAGTGGCAATTCTGAATTAATCAGATTTGATTACCTTCCTGTCAAAGTCATACAGGCTCTGAACAGCAGAGCTATGACCTTTTTAAATTCTTACTCTTTTTTTTCTCTGTATTCTGATGAACTGGAAGTGAAAAACTGTTCTTTCTATCAAATTGAGAAACTTCTAATTTTTTTTCTATATTTTTTGAGAATAATTCACCACAGTCCATGATGCCGATTCTAACTTTACATGCTCACATCCCTATACCTTTATAAGACAAGATCATTTGATGCTTAAATAACTGCTTTACTTATTGATGTATTCTTACAAAGAAGGAGCTACATTTAATCAGTGCTTAATGATTTTTATAATTATGCTATATTATCATTATTACTGCCTTCTTATGACTTTTCTTTTTCTTTAAAAAGAAATACTTGGGAATTATAACACCTACTTAGTAACACCTGGATTTCCCAACCCAAAACTTTTGCACAGAGTGCAAGGACAGAATGCCAACTTTTAGCAGTAAAATGAGGAGGTTCACGGCAGACTCCTTTGCACTCTATTAACAGTAACATAAATATAAGCAGGCTCAAAATATACCTCTGATACCACAGACTTCACACTAATTTATACCTGATCTCTAAAAGCCACACACACTTTTTAGTTCACTAGCAGAAGGCAAAGCACATTAATAAAGTAAATTACTCAGCTTTCTGCAAGTTTCTCAGACATTTAAAAGTCCTAGCAAACTAACAGGGGGGAAATGCTATGGCTCTTCCCTTTGAGAATTTCTCCTACTTCCTGTATTAGTTTATTCAGTGATAGATATGCATCTTAAGGAAGAGCTAGAGGAACCAGCAACATTGTTATCAACTGGAGGGGTCTTCAGTAAATTAGCACACAAAATAAAAAGAACCAACTGAAGAGATGGAACTGGAAGGCAGAGGCAAGGAAATAACAGGAAAGAAGAAAAAAGTTACAGGTATTCAGGAGTCAAATACTTCAAAGGGCTTTAAAAAAAATCCTGACTGTGCTCTGAGTGTCTCTGAGTTTATGATTTTTCTAGAACCAAAAACACAAATGCAGTTAGAAAAGATGATTAAGGGATAAATGCTTAAAATGTGGCAGCAAATGAACTCTAGAATGAAAAGCAGCTATTACTCAGAGTTCTAGTAGTTTCTTAGGAAAGGTGAGTAAAGACAAAATTATATGAAGTGGAAGTAGAATCCTCCTCTGCAACCTTCAGAGAAAAACCCCCAAAATATCAAATTGCAGAGCTCTGCCTTATCAATCAACCTAGATTGGGACCCTTTTTTCCCTTCTTTCTTTTATCTTAAAAAATATAAATAAATAAAAACAAAAACCAAAAAACCCCCAACCAACCAAGAAACCAAACCTATAATGATGATACGGCTTATTTTAACAAGAAGGTTTTTTGTTTTTGGTTTTCTGTCTTTCTTTTTTTAAGGCCAGGTTTTGAGTGATTCAGAACATTCTTTTGTGGTGCAATCATATTCATTCTGCGCTAACACCTCCAGCCATTTTCTTTTTTTTCCCTAAACACTTCTTGTTCTGATATGTTCAAACATCTTGATGTTTAGGTTGGGGAAGCTGAGTTGTTGTTTATGAGTTATCTCCAGTACTCAGATATCCGGCAGCTTTTTCCTAGGAAGTTAGCTTTGCACATAAAGGGGGGGAAAAAAACACCAAACTGTATGAGGAGAAGTGGGGGAGGTTGAGAAAGCTGGAGGAGGGGGTAAAGATCAGAAAGAATAAAGCCTACAAACCTAGGATTGCCAAAACTTGAAGTCATGTGGCCACTTCTATCCCTAGAAAGTTTTTCCTTTTACTAAAGAGGATGTAAAGGTGTTAGGGTGCATTAAAATCTGATAGGAAGACAAGGAATTCTATGAAAGGGATACAGAGAGTTCTTTTGGGTTTGGTTATGTATATATGTGGGGCAGATGTGTGGGTATGTATGTGGGTGGGTGGGTGGATGTTTCTCCTTAGAATTTGATAGATGCTAATTCATCCATTAGTCTGCATGGGGAAATTCCCCTCCTCCCTTCTACTTAGTGAATGTCAGCACTACAAAAAGCACTCTGATCTCCTGACTATGGTTAAAGTTATCCTTTGCCAAGCCTGCTTGTATTTGTCTCTGCTACATACACTCACTTTTTCAATCCGACCAAAGAAAAGTTTAGAAATGAGCCTTCTTGCTTAGTTTCCATATACATACTTGATGGTACCAAGTTTTCACAAGCACCCCAAAGGGGTAAGATGTTTAAAAAGAAAAAGATAATAATTCACCCTAAAGATAATAATTCAAAGGGAAAAGAAGACCAAATAGTTGGGATCAAGTAGCAAGGCAGAAATCACAAAAATGTTTCCCACAGGAATTACCTGTGAATAGTTCTCAATTTCTATGATCACACACACCACACAAAAAAAAAAAAAAAAAGAGAAAAAGTCCATTAGGGTCAATGGCTGGCTGCTTCTAAAATCAGTTAACAGCCCTATCAATCTTAAAGCTCACTGGCTCAGGAGATTCATGGCAAGCACTGATGCAGCTGTAGTCTGTCACTTTCTAAGACCCCACCTTCCACCACTCCACGTTGTGAATGGTACTCAGAACCTTCCACCCTCATACTAAAGCTCCTCTGTGTATCATGCCATGATTACCAATGCTTTTTCAAATCAGCTGCCTTGGTCCTGTTAATCACTCTATTATTAAGGAATACATTTTAAGAGTAGACATAGCCAAGGCAGCATCTTAAATACTTGATGAAGACTTAAGATATATGGAGGTGGGGGGAGGGGTAGGCAGGAAAGGCAGAGGGCTTTTCTGTACATCTAACTTAAAAACAAGACAGACACACTCCCTCCTTCTCTCCCCCCCCCCCAAAAAAGGCTCTCTCAAGCAAGTTGACATGATTTTGAGCTGTCTTGCCAATTTCCTGCAGAAAGCTCCCCTTCCTGAAGAAAGGAAATTAAAAACACAAAATGGTTAGTGTTGGATCAGTGCTTCCCAGGGAGAACTTACCAGCCTTCGCTTGGGCTTAATGAGAGGTCGGTTCTGCCCATTCATTTTGTGGTAGAGTCCACAGGCATTGCAAAGGTAGTGCCCGGTCCCATCTCTCCGCCACAGTGGGGTTGAGGTTGCCCCGCAGTTTACACACTCCCTGCCTTCTGGAAGCAAGAGCACACATAAGTCACTTATGGAATGAAAACACACAGGAACGCTAACAGGGCTTGGAGTTAGGGTGTGCAATAAAACTGAGAACGTTTTCCTCTCTCCCTTGGGAACTTCCCCTCCTCCCCATTTTAAGGCCATTCACAGCATAATCGGTCCCTGTATACATACAGCTCTCCTCCACAAAAGGGGCAGATAAACAAAATAGCCACAGAGGCTTGTTCTTGGCCTGCCTGACCTGATGGGGAAGATCAAGCAGCGCCAAGGAGGAAGGCAAAATTCAACTTGAAATAGTTCCCTGAGAAAAATTCTGAACCCTGGATGAAGGCAAAGCAAAACATTCCATTCATTTCCTTCAAAGAAGAAAAAAAAAAAAAAGGAAAACAAAGGTGACCCATTATCATCACTCAGTCTGTCTATACAGATTGATTAAATAATGAAGATTAGGATGAGGAAAAAGGAAAGATTAATCCATGGCTAGATAGATAAACAGATAATAAATAGATGTATAGATTGATCAATTGACTGATTGATTTTAGTAGCAAGGCCTTTAGATTACACTTCAAGTAAAACCACAAATATCCCAGCCTGGAAAGGACTAGATTAACCAAACAGGATCCACTCATTCCTTATCTCTTTTCTCCCTGGAAAACCTCAATGTTTCCCATCGCTTTCCAACTACTGTTACCCAAACAAATGTTAAAACCCGTGACCCCCGCCTGCTGGAGGGAAACCTAGCCCCACTTTTAGCCAGAGAACCTAGGAAAGACCAAACAGGGAGGGAGAGAAGTGGGGAGGAAGGGCTCAGGGAGCCAAGAAAAGACCCAGGAGGCACCCAAGCACGCGGGAGAGAGGGAGGGAGACACTGGGGCAGCACACTAACCGAGGCCTGCCTGCAGTGGTTCTTTTTCCAAAAACAAACAAACAAAATAAACACAAAAAACAGCCTGGTCAGGTTCGAGCAGCATTCATTCCAGGGCTGAAGAGTGACCCAGACCCACCTCCAAAAAGCTCCCAGGAGAATCCCTTAAAATACCAGTTTAGGGCCCCGAGGAGTTGCCTAAGTGATTTATTTTCCACTCCTGCGGGAGGAGGACAGTTTTGAGAGGAACTTCCCAGTTGTGAGACTGGAGGGGATGCAGGCAGAGGTCTCTCCTGGCATAGAACTAGGCCAACAAGTGGACCTCCAGTTGCAACAGGGGACCAAAGACCCGTGGCTCAGTTAAGAGGGAGGGAGCCAAGGGGTGGGGGGAGAGAAGGATGAGCTGTAAAGGTTGTTTTAATTGATTAATCAATTAGCATCAAATCTACCAGGAGCCTGTTGCTTGGGAATTTTGATTTACCAATAAGCTCTAGTGGCTGAGTGGTAAGGAGCTACACTGCCAACCCTGAAACAAGTGGTTTGAAGCCACCAGCTACTCTGTGAGAGAAAAGATGAGCAATTTTCTCCCTTGCAATTATGTGCCTCTGAAAACACAGTGGAGAGCCAACCTGTAAGTATGTAACAACAACAAAAGAAGGGAAAAGCTGGGTTGGAAGACTTGGGGCCTGTGGAAGCCCCCAAGATCAAGTACGAGGGGACACATCTGGTGAGTGTATGACGTACCCAGGGACAACTTCTGGGAGAAAGTAAAGAACTCTTGCCAGGAGAAAGAAGTTTGCCACCTTTACCCACTAAAATCAACAATTGTGTTAAGTGGAATTTTTGTCTGCTTTTTCATTTAAAACAAAAAACTGAAGGAAGAGAAAGAAATCTGTCTTTCACTTTAGATTAAAAAAGGATTTTTTTAACAAGAATTCCCCAGAGAGCTTGAAGGTATACAAGAATCCTGCAATTATATACAGTAAAAAAAAAAAAAAAAAAGTTGGACCAAGTAGCACTTCACTATGTACTCAAGTGCTCCAAAAAGACTTTGGGCTAAACTGCATTTGGGGTCAAAAATCTGGGAGATGAGGTACAATGGAGGTGGGGGAGGCATGAAGGAAGGAGGCAGGGTAGATGAGTGGGTGAGCAAGTACCAGCTATAGCCTCAGCCAAGAGGTAGGCAGACCCTGCAGTTGATGTGCTCCCCACATGGACACTCAGTCACCTTCTCAGGGGCAACAACCACTGACCCATCCTGGCTGGTACTCCCAAGCTCTGCCCCTACCCCAGCAAGGCAGAATCTTTCCAGGCTTCAGGATTGCTGTACCTTGCCCAGTTGGGCACTCCTCAGAAAAGCCTGGGCAGCTCCCCTGGCCCCTTGCTTCCACCCCCTCCACCAGCAGCAGCAACACAGCTAAGGGCCACGTTGCTGTTGTGGTGAGGAGGGTGGGGGGCTGCTGGGTACATCCCTGCTCCTAGACACCCCCGGTGCTGAGGGGAATCTCCCAATCTGACGTGATTAGTCTGATTTCCTCTCGCTGTGTCAGGTGGTTAGAAGGATGACTGCTTCCTTTTCAGAAGGACCTTAAAAACTAGCAGCGGTGGTTACCTCCTCAGCAAGGTTCTGCACACTAGAGCAATTTTCTGTCTTGATTCACTTGGCGAGTTTGTGATTACCCTGTGTTGTTGCTGTGAGGATTTGGGGTTTTTTCCTCTTATTGCCTCTAGTCTCTTGACTTCAGCAAACAACCAATTTTCCTAATGGAGGCCCTGACTCCTGCTTTCTTTCTCTTTCCCTGCGCCCTGCCAGCCATGAGCTGCTCAGGCAGACACCTCTTTCTTAGGTGACAAGAACCACAGAGCTATGAGGTCTCTTGACATTCAACAGTCATTTTCAAATACCCTTTTCACCTCTGGGTTTGGTCTTCTAATTGAAAACCTTGAAACTGGTCTGGACAAAAGGGGGTTGTAAGGTTGGCAGGTAAAATGCCTATAGAAGGTGGGGTGGGGGTAAAAAAATGGCCTTTTGGGGGAAAAGTGTTCTGTCTTTTGTTTGCAAAGATGTATCCCAGCACCAAAAACCCAAATATTAGCAAAGCAGTAAGCACCCTAACCATGGCTTCAACCATTTTTTTTTCCAAAATGCCACCACTCTCTCTTCTCTTGTCTCCCCAATTAGCAAATGCCTTTGAAAAGATGAGAGGTTTATTTTGTTTCGTTCTTTAAAAAAAAAAAAGCAATCATTAAAACCAAGAGAATCTCCTCCTTGAGAATTCCTACCACCTCCACCCTCTCCAATAGCAAACTCCCTTATTAAGAAAACTCTCAGCTGGCTGGCTGGCCAGGTGTGCTTTTACTGGGTTTTATACCTCTGAGAAAGGAATAAGAGGGAGGAGGGAGAGACTGAGTAAAAAGGCAAAACTACATTGCCACCTTCTCCCCCAACATAAACAACAAATAAAATAAGTGTAGAGATGTTCTTATTTCTCAGAGAAACCACAACTCTTTTTTTTTCCCCTTCAGTGTTTTTAGTCTTAAGGAAAGAGATGCGATAAAAGACGAAATAGAAGGCAGAGGTGTACTCAGCAAAGAGGGAGAAGTCAAATACGGAAATGTGGGCAAAGAAACCAGAGCTCTTTGGAAAAGTCACTCCATCCCCTCCCCACACACAAACCACTACACCAGCCTCAGATACCATGATCTTCCCCCAACCTTACAGCTCTACCAGAAGAGAGAACTTTTATTAAAAGCCCATTCCAACCTCAAAATGCACAGGTTTGCTCTCTTTGCAACCAGCTCTGAAGCCCTAATCTAATTCCTGGTTCTCTGAGTAAAGTTGTATCCCAATTCTCTCAAATCCAGTGCCTGACAAGGCACTAGGGGCCACTTTCCTCCTGCTCGTTCTTCATCTTGCTTTCTTTTTTACTTCACCAACTAGCCTGTGCCTCTCTCTCTGTCTCTGCTTCTCTCTCCCTCTCTCTCTCCTGCCTACTTTCATGTACTGAACATGCAGGTCTGAGTTTTTCTGTCAGCCTAACCGCATCCGGACTCTATTAAAGTTCTTGGCGCGGGATAAACAATGCAACTGTCGCGTGCAGCAGTCTGAAAATAATTGGATTAGCTAAAACATATCAACTAAATAGAGACAGTCCTGCTCAGGCAGTCGGAGTAAATGTCACCCTGGAAAAAACCCTGAAAACTGATCTCATGGTCACTGGGCTCCCAGAGTCCTACCTCTGAAGTTTTTTTTAAACCATAGCTTTGGAAGCTTTGCTTCCAGATAACTGCTTTCTACGCTTTCTTTTTTACACAGAATCTCCATAGCTAGAGTCAGAGGTAAGAGAAGTGGAGTAGATATGCCAGCGCTAAGATGGACCAACCTCCTGGGGGCACAATCAAGTAACATTAAAATTAAATAGTCAAATCTTCTCTGGGAGAATGCCTAACTCCCTGGTTTCATTGCTTTAGCAAAATTGATTACCGGAGTCTTTTATTTTATAAAAGCAAAATTACCAGAGCTATACTAGTATTCTGTATGGAATTTAGGGGTTTGCTTTTTTAATGCAAGTGACTGCATCTATAGAATAAATCTTCAGTATGCTTCTAAGCAAGATTTGTGTTTTTGAAAAAGAGGACGCAGAGACACACACCTGACAAACCTTTTTCAGTCCTTTTTATCTCCATTTGGTTCCTGATCAATCAGAGGTCTGTACCTAAGGCATCTTTGGGGTCCTACCTTGTACTGACAGCACTAGAAGGCACCCTGAGTAACAGGGCCCCTAGACATGTTATTCCAATTCACTTGAGTTCTTTCCTAGAAGTTAGGATGAGAGTCCCTTTCTCACATACACCCCCCAACTGTGTGTACCACATTTGCCAGGTTCCCACCTCTGGCCCCCCAAAAGTGATACACACACACTTTATTTATCCAGGTCTATATAAAGGCCTGCCCTTTACTATTGACTGTGTGACCCCCTTTGAGCCGAGCAGGAGAGGAACAACCAGGCTGACACAGAGGCCAGAGGGGTCACAGGAGGGACCTGTGTTTGTTTAGGTTTGAGGAGGTTTCGTTTTTTAGCATTAAACACCAGAGATTTATTCCCTCATTTGGTCTTGGAAGCTGACTAAAGGTTCCTGGCAGAGCCCAGAAGTTCTGCAACTAAGAGAGAGGAGTACTTTGTTTTTGTTTGTCTTTTCTTCTCCCAGTTCCTTGGGAAGTAGGGTAGGGAGGTTAAATTGGGTCCCATTTACCCTCTTTTTCTGAGCATATGGAATGAGAGAGGACACACCTCATTCTTTCCAGACTGGAAAAATGGGAAGAAAGTAAATCTCAAAAGGGTTAGGAACATCAGCCAGCTCCCCTGAGGCCCAGGCTGGTAGATCTCTTTGCCCTGGCCTGGATTAAGAAGGGAGAGGCAGGCGGAAGAGAAAAGAATCCCACCCAGGGGAGAGAAGGCTCCTACCTGTGCTGGATCTCGCCTTGGGCCTCGACTTGCATCCAAAGCCAGTGGGTGAGCCCCCCAGCAGGCTGCTGGGTGGGAAGAGTCCGGAGCTGTATTCGGGAACGTAGGGCGGGTAGGTGGTGATGGGGTGGTGGGCCGAGGAAGAGGCCCCTCCCAGGGTCGTCATGCTGCCGCGGGAGTGCGGCGACTCTAGCTTCATGCTGTCCGGCAGGGACACCTGGTACTTGATGCACTCCTTCTCATCCTGCCGGGCAGAGCCCGCCGAGCCCGGTGTGGACAAGGACGGGTCCGGGGAGACGTCCTTCGGTGGGGTGGGCGGGAAGGTGAAGAGGTGAGGGCTGGAGTGGCCCGCAGACAGGGAAGAGGACGAGGCCGGGGGATAGACCGAGAGGGGCCCCGGGGAGCCGTGGTGGATGGAGGTCTTGGAGAAGGGGCTGAGGTTCCAGGGCGAAGCACTGTGGTGGCTGCCCAGGGCTTTGCCGCCATCCAGCCAGGGCAGGGATCCGTGCAGCAACGGAGGGCGGCACACCTGGCTTCCTGCAATGTGCGAGGCACAGAAGGAGAGATCCGGGTTGAGAGTGGGCACTGAGGCCTTCAGACACCACTGGAGATTCTCCCTTTCCCCAAACCCAGAGGAAATCCCCAAAGGTAACCAGGACGGCAAGTGCACTCTCTATAATCCAGGTCATTTCAGGAGTACCTGGGCTAGCACACCTTGGGGTAAAGAGAAAGACTTCATCCCTCTCTCCACACAAGTGTACCATCAAAGCTGGGGGGATTAAGGGACTGTGTCTGACACCCAAGAGGTGCTGGAAAAGGCCCCGTCTTATATGGCCTCTTCAAATACACTTTCCAAATGACAATCCCTGAAGTCCATCTCTAGAACGTGTCTTGATTTATTAGTTTCCTTCAATGGTCTAGAGTCTCCCAGTCCTGACTGAATCTCACTCTGCCTGGTAAGTGTCAGGCTGTGGAAGAGACTAACCAGCGAGGCTGGGCCCAACAACTGCTTAATGGTGGAAGAACATCCCACTTTTAGAGAGGCCATGGCAGAGGCACCTAGCTCCAAATGCTAAGACTCCAGGCAGGAGAGTGGGAGAGGCCAGAGGACCCATTTAAGGATTATTTCCAAGTGCACCTCATTCAGTACGTGCTCATAATCACCAAGGCTGCTTCTGTAAGACCTGAGATGGGATTTGCAAGAAAATTTTAATTGTTCAGGCTATTGGAAAAAGTTTCCAAGGCAGAAGCTGGACCGGCTTTTTGGTTGTTGAGTATTTCCCTTTGCCCCTTCCCAAAGGCTACAGGAGAATAAAGCAAATCCTGTCAAAGCTGTGGCCTCATCGGCGTAATATTTGAGTTTTCACCTGAACTCCTAGAATACACAAGTCCAGTTTATGATGGCTCTCAGAGTATACTGAGCATTCATGTAAAATCTAAAAATAATCAATACTAATAACTCATACAAGTCCACACTCAGAAGGGTAAACTTAAACAGAAAGTAGTGCAGGTCCACCTATGTATTACTGATCTCCTAACCCGGTACCTGCACCAGCATTTGATATTCTATTTTACCATTATGAACAATACTGAAACTAAAAATCTTAAGGGAGAGGAAGGGGAGGGGAGCAACAGGGGAAGGAGAGTTCTCTGAACCTGAAGGGTCAAGATTCATATTATGCAGGAAGTAGTATAGTAAATAATATTAAGCCTGTCTCTACTGCATTTTCATTCAATTGCTGAGCTGCACAGAATAAGGGCCAAGCGATCCCCATCCACAGAAATGATTGTTTAAAACCTGGTGACCGCAAGGCAGGGGACGCCTGGTGACAGAGGGGCCCTGTCATTCAGGCAGTGGGCTCTCAGAGCTGGAGGCTGGAGGCCCACCACTGTCTGTCTGGGTGGACTGAGTACACCTCACACTTTCTCTGTCTGAAATTAGCCTAGTCCTGCTTTAAGAACAAACCCACAGCTACAAAGTGTGTGTTAGTAAGAAGAGTTTTCTCCTTAACTCCAAGGGCCAGTTTCTTTTTCACATTTCAGAACTCGCCTAAACTCCTCAAGGTGAGAGGTGGGGGGAAAATAAACCAGCCCAACTGGAATTGCTCCTGCTTCAAAAGAAGCCCTGGTGAATCCTAAATCTTCCGTGGGAGCCTAAGCGGACTCTTGTAGGCCAGAAGAGAGTAAGGCCAGAGTTGCAGGGATTCAGCAATGGGGCAATATAAAAGGACTCCGGAAAATTCTGAGCAGCCGGGAATTTTGAAAACTTCATACCTTTTAAATTTACTAAGACCCCTTCATATACCAAAGTCCCATTTCTTTTTTTTTTTTTTTCAAAGTCCCATTTCTTAAAACCAAAAGGTGGGAGAGCTGCTTAAAAACCAAGGGCAGTAGCTTTGGGGAAAGCTCAAAAGATTGTCGTGTGAATGAAAACGCTTCTCTCGGGCCTTGTTAAAAAAAGATTCCCAAGAAATAAATTTAGGCACAGTGGCAAATACTCTACCACAAGGAGTATGTAAATCAGGGGGAGAGATGCCCTTTGCAAGAACCTTTCCCCGGCCGGGCTTGGCGAGCGCCAGCGGCGAGGCCCGGCGAACCGGGACCAGCAAAGGCACCAACCTAAGCTCCTAGCGCCTGAGATTTCGGGGGACCCTGAGCTTGCGGCCCGGGGACAACAGGGTGAAAGCTCGGCCCCAGTAGCAGGGGAAAGAGCAGCAGGAGGCGTCTGCTGTGACTCTTAAAAATACACTCTCAAGACGCCTTCCTCGCCCATTTCCGGGCCCTAGTAGTTTTAAAGGAGCCAGTAACGGCACTTGGGGGGGCTTTCGCTTACTCTCTCCACCCCCAGATCCCTCCCAGCCTCCTGACCCCAAAGGGTGGGACCGCTCCGCGTGACTCTCCGAATCGGGGGCGGACTCACCGTGGTGGGTCGGAGGGTACCTCTGCACGGTGGCCCTCACTGAGTTTCCGTAGTAGGATGGGACGTGGTTGCCTTGGCCGTCGATGTTAAAAAGTACATCCACCTCCTCTGGCAGAGGGTACTGCGCCGGGTCCATGTATGAGTGGCCGAGGCCCGGGTGATGCGTGTCCGGGTGCTGCCCGTTGAGCACTGCGGGGTGGTGGTGGCTCACCCAGCGCGGCTGATCCGCCGTCACCTCCATGGCCTCGGCCTGCGCTCGCGCCCTCTCGCCGGGCCCGGAACCCGCGCGCGGAGAGGGAGGGCGGTCGGGCTGGGAGGTCGCTGTGCTCGGAGGTTTTGCAGGTGCTACCGCCGCCGAGAGGAGGGGTAGTCTTTTAATTATTTGTTCTCAGTGAAGAAGTTAGGGATGGGAAAATTGGGAAAGAAAGGTGAGCAAATGAAAGATTTGTTTAAAAAAAAATAGGTGTAGTTTAACAAGGAGATGAGGATGATAAAAGCAAAATTTTTAAGGAAAGATAAAAGGGGACCAAATTGTAAAGGAAGGTGAGGACGCTTTGAATTGTCCGTAAATGAGGCTCCGCTGCACCGTGAGCCCTCAGCGGCTCGGAGACTGAGCTGCTCCTCCGGTCACCTGCAATGGGAAGAAGGGGGAAACCTGGATGAGCTCTTAAGTATTTAGCACCTGAGTTTACAAAGTGGCACCACCTCCCCTCGAGCCGGCCACACCGGGCGCGCGCCTCCCCCGCGCCCGACCCGGCGCCCGCGCACCAGCGGCACCGCGCAGGACACACATGCGCGCGCGCGCACCTCCGTGGAGCTCGGAAAACCGAGACTTAGCCCCAGAGGCAGGAAAAAAAACTCCCTCTCCATCCCAAGCAGCCAGGCCTCTTCAATCCCAAGGAGCCCTGGACTGTGCAGTTCAACTTGGAGAACAACTGCCCCCTTCCTTCCCTGCCTCCCTTAGGAAGCACCGGTCCCGGGACCTTTCAGCCGGTTGCAAACCTCCAAGTGGGAAGAGTTTGATTTTAAAATGTTAACGTCTTCCCAAGTGGAGAAAAAGAATCAGTCTTTAAAAAAAAAAAAGTTATCAGTACCAACCTGGGTAGCGAGGAGTCGAGGAGGAGAAGGACTACGTATATGACCTGAGAGCAAAAACTGCTCGGTCAGATGTCGTGGCTCGCTCTGTCTCGCCCTCTCTCAGTCTCTCTCTTTTCCTCTCTCCCTCTCTCAGTATTTTTTTTTTTTTTTTTACAGGGAATGCATTCTTTCTGAAAGTATCAAGACGGCGCCAGGCAGCTCAGTGTTCGCAGACAGCTGTGGCGCGACGCAACTTAAGGAGGTTCTAGTGTCATCCGCGCCGACGGGGGAGGAGCCTGGCGCTGGTGAGGAGGGGACAAGATCCCAGGCACAAGGAAACGAATTGCAACCCAAACCCGCTCCAGGACTTCACCGCCCCCCCCCCCGCCTCTCCTCCCGCCCCTCCACTGACCGGAAAGGGGCGCCGCGCAGGGAGGCCGCAGGCGGAGAGGGTGGGCGAGGCCGGCCGAGGTTCGGGGCTGAGGGGGCGGGCAAGAGGGAATTAGCACTCTGGCCCTTTAAATGTGATTCGGGCTCCTGCCAATTCATTTGGGCTCCTTAGATTATTTCGTCCCAGTGAAACCGGCCTGCCCCATTCATAAAGTTAATTTCTGCAGGCAGATTCCCCTCACCCCTGCAAGACTTTTTTTTCCCCCCCTTGAACAAAAAGTGTTTTTATTCAACCCAGGATATTTGGAAAAGTTTCTTTATTGGGGGATTATGTGCACATAAAACTGATGGGGGGCAACTAATATCAATATACTTTTAAATCTGCCTCTTGTGCAAATTTTCTGAAAGACTGAGGAATGGGGCGATGGAGTACGTCTTTGATCAGAACGTTCGCGATACTTCTGTTAACGTTCTTTACAAGCCTCTCCAATGAATACGATTCAGCTTTTGCAACTGTCTTCTCTAGAGCTAGTATTTGTAATCAATGTTTGCTTTTGACTTGAGTGACAAGTGATGGATGAAAAGGAAAGAGGGAAGCCGCGAGAAGAGAAATACTTAACTCGCTGCGCAAGTACAGAGTTAAGTGGAAGTAACTCGGGTCTGTGCTCCAGTGAGCGAACTTTTCCGGTCAGACCCTTCACCCTCCGAGAGTCTTACTTACTCCGGATCGCAGCGTTTCTCCCTCTGCCAAGTCGACTAGCCCCCGCCCCGCCATCGACCTGAGCCCCAACCGCCCAGCCAGAAGCCAGCGGCGGCGACCTTCGCGGGCTCAGCAGGTCTCAAACTCCGCGGCCCGGGGCGCAGGGAGCAAGGCTCCGAGAGCGCACGGCGAGAGGCGGGGTGGGGCGGGGCCACGTGAAAGGGCCAATCACGGGGTGAGGCCGTGGCCGGGCCGCGATTGGCCGGCTCCGCGAGTTCGAAGCTCCGTGGCTTCTTTCGGTCCTTTGAGCCACTGCATCCCCTAGCGGTGCTAAAGCTCCTGCAGCTGCCGAGTCTGAAAACCCAAGCGGGCTGAGGTCAAGCGAGAAAAGCCTTAAGTTCCACCCTCTTCTCACTCACACACCCCACCCCCAAAATGTGTGCAAGGAGGGAGTATAGGTTCTCCCACAGGCAACCTCAGAGACAGAGCAAAGAGCTTGTTTGGGGATTTTAAATATCTGTTTTTAAAGAACTGAAGATATGGTCCCTTTTCCCCCCTTGTACTTATAAAATTCCCCAAGGGGAAGAAAAAATCAAAATAGAAGATAATCATCCCTAACAGTGATTCGGGGTGCGAGGAATGGCGTATTTTTTAAAAGCAATCCTTGTCGAATGTATAGGACAGTGTATTCCATAATGGGAACGTGGGTCATTCCCATCTTTAATTTGGAGGGTTTCTTGAGTCCTGCTTTTCTAAAATTGATATTTGTTTAAAATTAGAGTTTAATTCCTTAGTACAGAACAAGAAGAAAATCCCTAAATTAAGTCCCCCACCCATTTCTCCTGAGCCCTGTTAGTCTCCCGTTTATTAGAGCGGCCCTGTAGAGGAGCATCGATTTTCCTTTCATTCTTTTGACCACTGTTCTCTCCAGGGTCAGTCAAGCTGCCAGCATCTCCTCTTGCTCACAGCCCTCTCCAAACCTTTTAATTATTTAGTTTCTGTCTAACATTCACCGGAAACCATTTCACAAAGAAGGAGAGAGGGATGCACGCACGTTTTCGCTAAAAGTCTGGACATTAAGGATAGAAGAAGAAAGGAAAAATGAAAAAACTTTGTGCACCTTATTCCAGCCTGACCTCAGTTCACAGGCAGTCGGAAAATCTCCCGACAGAGCTACTTGGTCCTCCTTGAGCCGACCTGGGAGGCAGGCAAACGGTAAAGGAGAGCTGTCCGAGGGAGGGAAAAGAGGCCGAAGTACTGGGCTTGGAAACCATAATTGTTAAGATTAACTATTTTAAAAGACAAAGGAAAAGATTTGCAAGAAGGTACCCCTGATACTGACATTAAAGGGGCTGCATATTCGTTTTCATTAAATTTACAAGCATCAAAGATGGAGAAGTCACACACACATACACACATGCACACACACACACACACACACACACACACTCTCACACACCTTGGAAAATAAAAAATCTTGAAGGCCTCTGTTGGTCTGGGGGATTTGGAGCTGGGAGAGAGAGATGGGGGGCCTGGGACTGGATGCGGTGTAATGGAGCCAGCCTGTAGGGGGTATTTAACATTTAATTCCCAGCCGGTCCGCCCCTGTTCCCGGACTGACAGTGGGTAATTGGGAAAGAGGACGTTGCTCTTTTGATGGCCCGCGCCGGCCAGTCTCGCCGACGCCACACTGGGTTTGACGTCACGGGCCCAACCCCAGAGCCAGGAGCACAGAGCAGGGGGAGGGAAAAGAGGGGAGGGGGTAACCGGGGAGGGAGGGCCGAGGTCGGCCCCGGAACCGATGGGGAGAAGGGGGAAGGGAGTTGAGGCCGGAGAGAGACTGTGGCGAGTGGCCTGAGGCGGAGAGCCGGGCTGCGGGGGTCTGGGCCAGGCCAGGCGCCGGCCTGACCCGCCTGGCTGGCAAATGCAAGCCCGGCTTCCTCCTCCGAGGGTGGGCGGGGGAGGGGAGGGGGCGCGAGGCTGGGAGGAAAGGTGGTCCTGGTTCTCGCTTTCCCGGAGCCCTCAACGCTGATCCTGGCCTCCATCGGAGACGCCTTCAGCGCCCTCCTGCAAACCTGAGGACCCCTTTCTCCCCAGGCAGCCTGGCTCTGGCCTATTCTAGCGGGTCTCCCCCACCTCCCCTGGACCACTCGGTGGAGCTCAGATGGAGGACAGCAGGAGGAGACCAGGAGAATACTGTCACCGCCGCTACTGGGCCCCAGGCTCCTGTAGTGCGTAAGGCCTCTTGCAGGGTAAGAGGCTGGCAAAATTTTGGCCGCCCGGGACCCTGGGGACAAACGTCCAGAGCACTGTAGGCGAAGGCGCAGACCCCGCTCCTGGAGGAGCCAGGTCTTGGTGCTGCTCTAGGAGCGGCAGGAACCAGTTTGGCCTCTTAATGCCTAGGCCTCGAGGCGGCTGCTTTAGGCGTCAAGTTGAGCGAGGTATGTGTGCCCTCTTGGGGAAAGGGTAAGGAATAGAATTTTACTTTCTTTCTCTCTGGTTGAGGTAAGCCGGGACCACACACGTACACACGCACACCTTGACCCGTGTAAAGGTCCCTCCCCCTTGCCTCCCGGGGGCGTAGGAACTCGGTCCTGAGTGGAAGTGGGGAGCCCTGAGCCTCATAAAAATTTGAGCCCGCGGCGCGATGAAAGAAACAGGCCCCTCCAGGCTCAGCCCTCCGGTCGTAGGCCCGCCAGAACGCAGATCCATGCAGTCGGCGTCAGACCAGCGCGTCCAGGCGAGCTCCGCGGGGCCGAGGTGCCGGGAGGAGCGGCCTCGGGCGCCCGCGCAGTGGCCGCAGACGGGAACGAGAAAAAGCCGGGCCTTGGGGTCGAAGTCATAAAGTTACTAATCCCGCGCAGGAGGAGCGAGCGTGCCTCGGGCCGCCTGGGGCGGTTATTTGAGCGTGTTTACTTAAGGACTTTGCAAGCGGAGCGCGCGAGAAACAGTCGGATTTCCAGCGAGGCAGCAAATATTTGCAGGCGAAGAGAAAGAAGCGGAGCCGGGCCGCGCCGCCGCGTCCCTCCCCCCGGAGCCGCGGCGCCGGCCTGGGCGGACCCAGCCGCGCTGTTAAAGACACTAGTGAACCCGGGAACCTGCGGGGCTGGGGGTGGGGAGGGCGCAGAGAGAGAGACCAAAGGCCAGAAATTAGAGGACTCCACCGGGGCCCCGGCGAGCTGGAGCAAGGAGAGGAGAAATCCTTTTCCATTCCAGCTCGATCAGTCTTCTGTGCTGCGATCGGTCAATAAAAATGGTGTGAACTATTCGCTGCTGCGGTGTGTCTGGG